CTGGCACCCGTGCCATAGGTTCGCCACCACTGGTTTATACCTATGTAGCATATAGCATGTTTAAATATGTTTATCTATGGCAGTGTTTCTCAACTCTGGCAACTTGAAGCGGTCTGGACTTCAGTTCCCAGAATTCCTCAGCCAGCTATGCTGGCTGGGGAATTCTGGGAACTGAAGTCCAGACCTCTTCAAGTTGCCGGAGTTGAGAAACACTGATCTATGGGTAGACTTGGAGAACAAGCAAGTGAATTTTCATTTTTAATATGTGCCAATGTGCCCCCCGTAAAGAAAAATGATGATAAAGGTTATCTATCATAGTCCTCGATTTACAATGTTTATTTACTGACCAAAGTTACAGTAGCACGGAAAAAAGTGACTTAGGGCCGTTTTTCACACTTGCGACCGTTGCAGCGTCCCCCAGGGTCACGTGATCCAAAGGCAGACGCTGGACAACTCACTCCTATTTATGACGGTTGCAGCGTCCCCCGGGGGTCAGGCGACCCCCTTTTGCGACCTTCTGAAAAGCAGAGTCGATGGGGGGAGCCAGATTCACTTAACGACCGAGTTAGTCATTGAACACTTGCAGTGATTCACTTAACACCTGTGGCGAGAAAGGTGGTAAAGCTCACTTAACAACAGAAAACCTGGGCTCAATTGTGGTCTTAAGTCGAGGACTATGTAATAGTGTGTATGTGTGTGTGTGTGTGTATGTCTGTGTGTATAAGTTTCTGTGTATGTGTGTCGTGTGTAATTATATACAAAAAAGGCAACTTTTTCTGTATCTTTTGCATGAAAAGAGAGAAGGAAGGAAGGAAGGAAGGAAGGAAGGAAGGAAGGAAGGAAGGAAGGAAGGAGAAAGAGGGAGGGAGGGAAGGAAGAAGAAAGAGAAAGAGGGAGGAAAGGAAGGAAGAAAAGAAGGAAGGAAAGAGGGAGGGACGGAAGGAAGGAAGAGAAAGAGGGAGGAAAGGAAGGAAGGAAAGAGAAAGAGGGAGGGAAGGAAGGAAGGAGAAAGAGGGAGGGAAGGAAGGAAGGAGAAAGAGAAAGAAGGAAGGAAAGAGAAAGAGGGAGGGAAGGAAGGAAGAAAGGAAGGAAGGAGAAAGAGGGAGGGAGGGAGAAAAGGAAGAAGAAAGAGAAAGAGGGAGGAAAGGAAGGAAGGAAGGAAGGAAGAGAAAGAGGGAGGGAGGAAAGGAAGGAAGGAAGGAAGGAAGGAAGGAAGGAAGGAAGAACAGACCAACTAGCATTTTATCTTTCCTCTGTTGAACTTGTTATAAACACAGAGTCCAGCAGCCCAGGGCGAATTGACGGTCAAAGGCAGAGAGCATGGACAGAGTGCACTCCATCAGCCACCTGGAACTACGCCATCTCAGTTGGATGGGATGAAGCACGGCGGACAGACTGCATTGCTCTGCTTGCTCCAAAGAAGACGAAAAAGCATGATTTTTCACACAGAGCCAGAAGCTTCAGATGGAGATTACTTCCCAATAGGTAAGACTGAGGTTGAGAAGGTCATCCATACCAGCCCTTCCAAACCAGCTGGTGGGTATCCTCATACTGGAGGAAGCTGGAAATGACTATCAGCCATGAGATGTTCCTACGTGGAAGGCTTCCTGTCTGCAATTTTAGTATAATACTGTCAAGAAAGAAAAATTATTGATTGATCCTTGGTGCTTTCCGGACTGGGCTGTTTTCTTGCAGACCTTTCATTACCAAACTAGGTAACATCATCAGTACTCGCTGTGTTTTATGGCAGTTCTTTTCCGTCAGAGTTTCATTGCCTTTATAGAGATTTCTCTGTCGACTCTGTCATTCTTCAAATGTTCGAAAGATTTGGGGGATTCTCTAGTAAAGTCTTGGGGCCACAGTCACCCTTATACCGGAGCTTCTGTTAGACCTTTATAGGTTTTCAAGCTAGTGAATGTTTGATGCTTCCCATTAAGACGGCCAACATATTGTATATATTGTCCATCCTCTCTCAAGATCTATTTGTGGATTTTGTAATGCTGTGGTGAGCACCAGCTTGTGAAATAATTTGATCTCTCTACGCTTGAATTGACAATTTAGGCAAGACTTTATAGTAAGTCTCTTTGAGTAAAAGTAAACAAGGTCCACATGCTTCCATATCCGAGAAGCAGGTCCTACATAAAGTTTCTGAAAAACTTAAATAAATCTAAAGTATTCTCTAAGTTCAGAAAAGAACATTATCACCAAATACTATATTTTACCTTTCTATATGGACTTAGGCCTGGGGTGAGGAACCTTGGCACTTTTATGACTTGTGGACTTCAACTCCCAGAATTCCTCAGCCAACATGGGGAACTGTGGCCCCTTTATGACCTGTGGACTTCAATTCCCAGAATTCCTCAGCCAGCATGACTTAGCTTGAAAACTCTCCCTTTCCCCTCAGCATGGCTGGCTCAGGAATTCTGGGATTTGAAGTCCATGAATCATAAAAGAGCCAAGGTTGCCTACCTCTGGGCTAGGCCTAGGCCGCTTTAAGACTTGTGGACTTCAACTCCCAGAATTCCTGAGCCAGCCATGCTGAGGGGAAAGGGAGAGGTTTCCAAGCTGAGCCATGCTGGCTCAGGAATTCTGGGAGTTGAAGTCCACGAGTCATAAAGAGCCAAGGTTGCCTACCTCTGGGCTAGGGCTAGGCCGCTTTATGACTCATGGACTTCAACTCCCAGAATTCCTCAGCCAGCATGACTCAGCTTGGAAACCTCTCCCTTTCCCCTCAGCATGGCTGGCTCAGGAATTCTGGGAGTTGAAGTCCACCAGTCATAAAAGACCCACAGTTCCCTACCTTGGCCACTGTGAGACAGCTGGACTTCAACATGGCTGGCTAGGGAATTCTGGGAGTTGAAGTCCACCCCTCTTTAAGTGGTCGAGGTTGAAAAACGTGGAACTTAGGGGCAAATCGCATCCTCTCACATTAATCCTTTGTACTAAAACAAAATAAATGCCGCAGTAAAGGATTGATAGTCAGCTCTGTAATCCAATTAGCATAATTAGATTTAATTGGGCAATCCATCCCCCTGAAAGCTTAAAACTAGGAAGCAAGATTTGCCACGATTCCGTTGGAAAAAACGGGCTGCGGGAGTGTGAGTCACTGAATTCCCAAACCACAGAAGTTTCTTGCTATTTTATTGGCTTCCAAATGAATTATCTGAGCACCAGACAATCTCCTTGGGCCTAAAAGAAGGAAGATTTTAGCCACAGCTTCGTCCACTTTGTTTAATGAAAGATATTTGGTCACTGGCGCATTATGCTCAAGAATATTCTGCCTAACCTCTCAGTGCCAGAGAAAACATGATATCTTCTACTCTTCCAAGCTTTTTATTGCATTGTTATCCATGAAAACTCCGCCTTATGTGCTTGTTTCCTGAATTTAAACTTTGTCTATTATAGTCTCTCTTTTCCCCCCAAAATTTCTTGTACTGCCAATTTAACTTTTTAAATTAATTTATGGTTTGTGCTTGTTAGCCGGTATGAAACCTCTGTGATAGAAGAAAGATCAGATTGCTTCTGATAAGGATATATAAATTAAATGAAATATTTGAGAAACGATCGGTGTTATTGGACACCAAAGATAGCACAGTAGATAAAGATGTGAGATGGTTAGATGTGTTCCTTTTTCCCTCAAGTGGAGTCCTTGGGGAGGGTCCTCTGAGCCGGATGGTTTCCCTGCAGACATTTTATGACCCAACTAGGTAACACCATCAGTTTTAAAAGGGAGTGGGATTTGCTCTCAGTTTGGGGTTGGTGGGAGTACTGTTGTCTTCTCGGTGGTTCCTTGAGTAGGTTGTCATTTACTGTTTAGTTCAGTGTTTCCCAAACTTGACAATTTTAAGGCATGTGGACTTCAACTCCCAGAATTCCACAGCCAGCATTGCTGGCTGTGGAATTCTGGGAGTTGAAGTCCACATGCCTTAAAATTGTCAAGTTTGGGAAACATTGGTTTAGTTGTTTGTGTTGGCAGTTCCAGCTCTAGACAAACTGAGTTGGTCATTCCAACGCTAGAACTACCATCTCTGGATATCCCAAAGGTGCTTTTTTCAGGAGGCAACTGGACTTTTCTTGTTTTTCTTTGAAGACGTTTCGCTGCTCATCCGAGAAGCTTCTTCAGCTCTGACGTGAAAAAAGCCCCTTTGGGACAACTAGGACCTGGATGGCTGGGAATCTCCACAGACATTTCCCATCTCTAGAACTGCCAAGTCAGACAAACAATCAAACAGTAAACAACAGCCTAATCAAGGAACCAGCATGAACATCCTCACTGACAGGAGAAGCCACTAGTATCTAAACAGGGACCAATGCCCACGCCCTCCTAGCACTGATGACGTTACCTAGTTGGATAATGAAACGTCTGCAAGGAAACCACCAAGCTCAGAGACCCCACAGTGCTGCTGCTGCTGTTGCTCCTCCTCCTCCTCCACCACCTCCTCCTTCTCCTCATGCCACTCTCCCTCCTAGTACTGATGGTGTTACCTAGTTGGGTAATGAAACGCCTGCAAGGAAACCACCAAGCTCAGAGAGCCCACAGTGCTGCTGCTGCTGTTGCTCCTCCTCCTCCTCTTTTGCAAACCCCACTCCCTTCTAGCACTGATGATGTTACCTAGTTGGGTAATGAAACGTCTACAAGGAAACAACCAAGCTCAGAGAGCCCACAGTGCTGCTGCTGCTGCTGCTGCTCCTCCTCCTCCTCCTCTTCCTCCTCCTCCCCTTTTGCAAACCCCACTCCCTTCTAGCACTGATGATTCTACCTAGCTGGGTAATGAAACGTCTGCAAGGAAACAACCAAGCTCACAGAGCCCACAGTCCTCCTCCTCCTCCTCCTCCTCGTCCTCCTCTTTGCAAACCCCCACTCCCTCCTAGCACTGATGACGTTACCTAGCTGGGTAACGAAACATCTGCAGCAAAACAGCCCAGGCTCAAAGAGCACCAAGGACCCCCCAGTTCAACCCTGAGCTACCGATATTCTCTTCCGTTGGAGTCACGCTTACATCAAACTCGTTCAGGGCTGCCGCAAGCTCCCCGATTCCGGTGTGGCCCTTGTTCTCGTCGGTGGGCGAGGTAGCCTGAGCTGCGTTGGAAATGCCAGCAATGGCTTCCTGGACTTGCTTGAAGACATAATCCCGGTTGGCTCTGGTGGCGGCGACGTCAGGGTGGCGGAGGAAAGCTTGCGAAGCTGTGTAGAGCATGGTTGCGTTTTTTTTCAAGGCCCCACGAGCGGCGGCCATTTCGTCCCTACAATGGGGATCCTTCAGCTCCTATTTGAAACAAATATACACACATATATATATATATAAATAAATGATACGCACAACTGCACACAGGCATATGAATCTATAGCAGGGGTCTTCAAACTCGGCCCTTTTATGACTCGTGGACTTCAACTCCCAGAATCCCTCAGCCAGGCACACTGGCTGAGGAATTCTGGGAGTTGAAGTCCACTTTCTTAAAGTCTATATCAGGAGTCTTCCAACTTGGCCCTTTTATGATTTGTGGACTTCAACTCCCAGAATCCCTCAGCCAGGCATGCTGGCTGAGGAATTCTGGGAGCTGAACTCCACTCCTCTTATAGTCTATATCAGGGGGTCTTCAAACTCGGCCCTTTTATGACTTGTGGACTTCAACTCCCAGAATGCGTGCCTGGCTGAGGAATTCTGGGAGTTGAAGTCCACGAGTCATAAAGCGGCCTAGGCCTAGGCCAGAGGTAGGCAACCTTGGCTCTTTTATGACTTGTGGACTTCAACTCCCAGAATCCCTCAGCCAGGCACGCTGGCTGAGGAATTCTGGGAGCTGAACTCCACTCCTCTTAAAGTCTATATGAGGGGTCTTCAAACTTGGCCCTTTTATGACTCGTGGACTTCAACTCCCAGAATCCCTCAGCCAGGCATGCTGGCTGAGGAATTCTGGGAGCTGAACTCCACTCCTCTTATAGTCTATATGAGGGGTCTTCAAACTTGGCCCTTTTATGACTCGTGGACTTCAACTCCCAGAATCCCTCAGCCAGGCACGCTGGCTGAGGAATTCTGGGAGTTGAAGTCCTCTTAAAGTCTATATCAGGAGTCTTCCAACTAGGCCCTTTTATGATTTGTGGACTTCAACTCCCAGAATCCCTCAGCTAGGCACGCTGGCTGAGGAATTCTGGGAGCTGAACTCCACTCCTCTTATAGTCTATATGAGGGGTCTTCAAACTTGGCCCTTTTATGACTCGTGGACTTCAACTCCCAGAATCCCTCAGCCAGGCACGCTGGCTGAGGAATTCTGGGAGTTGAAGTCCTCTTAAAGTCTATATCAGGAGTCTTCCAACTAGGCCCTTTTATGATTTGTGGACTTCAACTCCCAGAATCCCTCAGCTAGGCACGCTGGCTGAGGAATTCTGGGAGCTGAACTCCACTCCTCTTAAAGTCTATATGAGGGGTCTTCAAACTTGGCCCTTTTATGACTCGTGGACTTCAACTCCCAGAATCCCTCAGCCAGGCATGCTGGCTGAGGAATTCTGGGAGCTGAACTCCACTCCTCTTATAGTCTATATCAGGGGTCTTCAAACTCGCCCCTTTTATGACTTGTGGACTTCAACTCCCAGAATGCGTGCCTGGCTGAGGAATTCTGGGAGTTGAAGTCCACGAGTCATAAAAGGGCCGAGTCTGAAGACCCCTGATCTATAGTTTTTATAAATCAGGGCCTCTGCATAGGAGCCAATGGTTAGCAAAAAAAAAAAAAAAGTACAAGGGTGCCTCCAAGCCCTTCTAAACATCTCCATCCATCATGGACGATTCGAACCTAAAACGTGGATAAAGATGCTCAAAACAGATACCTCGAAAGGCAAAGATATACATGGAATGAAAAAAAAAAAGATAAATAACGAGGAAGGTGAATTAGCTGGATATGTATTCCACATCTTAAGCAATGTACACCAAGAAAAATCAGCTCAAGGATCATGGACAGCCATTGGTGTGAAATGGTATAGGGTTTCCTGCCTGAGCAGGGGGTTGGACTAGATGACCTCCAAGGTCCCTTCCAACTTTATTATTATTGTTGTTGTTGTTGTTGTTGTCGTTGTCGTCATCATCATCTATTTTGACTCTCTCACAGCTCTCCAGGAAAAACAGACAACACAACTTGAAGATATATTTTCCGTGCCTTTGGAATGGCCCTTTGGGGCTGTGTGTGTGTGTGTGTGTGTGTGTGTGTGTGTGTGTGTGTGTGTCGTTATTATAACAAGAGCCAGACTGGTCTAATGATTAAAGCCCCCAGGCTAGAAACCAGAAGACAGTGAGTTATAACTCAAGGCGGCTGACCTAATACAAGCGCAATCCTGCCAGGTGACTGACACAGTGTGACTGGCCCAAGGTCACCCAGCTGGCTTTCGTGCCTAAGGCGGGACTAGAACTCACGGTCTCCTGGTTTCTGAGCCAGCACCTTAAGCACCACACCGAAGTGGCTCTTTCACAGCTGGCTATGGAACAGGAAGACTGAGCTATCGGTTCTTTCCGAGCACCCAGAAGCTTCAGCAGATGTATCCTACACTATAGGATGATAGGGAAGCTGACGGTGGGTCTTGCAATCCTTCCATAGAGTGAAGACAGAGCTGCCCTACTGCAATAGGGTTTCAGGATGAGGAATCTGTGGGGAGCACTACATGCAGCTGGTATCCTAATGCCTGGGACTCCCCCATGTCAGTAATCAGGGGTATGAAGACTGACAAGAGCCACCAATGGACAGGATAAGCTTTTTAGATCTCTATCATAACCACCAGGAGTCTCCCTAAACAATACATTTGTCTTGTCCTGTCCTATCCTGTCTTATCTTTCCCTGACCTATCCTGTCCTGTCCTGTTTTGTCTCGTCTTTTCCTTTCCCTGTCCTGTCTTTTCCTGCCCTATCCTGCCCCATCTTGTCCTGTCCTGTCTTATCTTTTCCTGACCTATCTTGTCCTGTCCTGTTTTGTCTCGTCTTTTCCTGTCCCTGTCCTGTCCCATCTTGTCCTGTCCTCCTGTCTTATCTTTTCCTGTCCTATCCTGTCCTGTCCCGTCTTGTCCTGTCCTGTCTTATCTTTTCCTGCCCTATCCTGTCGTGTCCTGTTTTGTCTCGTCTTTTCCTGTCCCTATCCTGTCTTTTCCTGCCCTATCCTATCCTATCCCGTCTGGTCCTGTTCTATCTTATCTTTTCCTGCTCTATTCTGCCCTGTCCTGTTTTGTCTCATCTTTTCCTGTCCCTATCCTGTCCTGTCTTTTCCTGCCCTATCCTGCCCCATCTTGTCCTGTCCTGTCTTATCTTTTTCTGACCTATCCTGTCCTGTCCTGTTTTGTCTCGTCTTTTCCTGTCCCTGTCCTGTCTTTTCCTGCCCTATCCTATCCCGTCTGGTCCTGTCCTGTCTTATCTTTTCCTGCCCTATTCTGTCCTGTCCTGTTTTGTCTCATCTTTTCCTGTCCCTGTCCTGTCTTTTCCTGACCTATCCTGCCCCATCTTGTCCTGTCCTGTCTTATCTTTTCCTGATCTATCCTGTCCTATCCTGTTTTGTCTCGTCTTTTCCTGTCCCTATCCTGTCCTGTCTTTTCCTGCCCTATCCTGCCCCATCTTGTCCTGTCCTGTCTTATCTTTTTCTGACCTATCCTGTCCTGTCCTGTTTTGTCTCGTCTTTTCCTGTCCCTGTCCTGTCTTTTCCTGCCCTATCCTATCCCGTCTGGTCCTGTCCTGTCTTATCTTTTCCTGCCCTATTCTGTCCTGTCCTGTTTTGTCTCATCTTTTCCTGTCCCTGTCCTGTCTTTTCCTGACCTATCCTGCCCCACCTTGTCCTGTCCTGTCTTATCTTTTCCTGATCTATCCTGTCCTGTCCTGTTTTGTCTCGTCTTTTCCTGTCCCTGTCCTGTCCTGTCTTTTCCTGTCTTGTCTTTTCCTGTCCTCTCCTGTCCCATCACGCCTTGCCTTATCTTACCTTATCTTAATTTTATCTGGATCAAATCTCACAACGCTGACTCTGGACACCCTATAAAGATCAACAATTAAAATAATAATCCCTGTTGCTCTGGGTAAATAAAGCCTTCCAATGATTTAAAAAAAAAATCAATAACAGGGCTGCCCTAAACCAAATGTCTGGGGAAACTGAATAAAACCCAAGTCATTCTGCAGATTAGATAAGATGCTCTTTCCACAGGCTTACCTGTTGCCTTCTAGCAGCTACGTAGTTAAGCTTCACCATCTCTTTTCCAAATTCTTTGAAGCGGTTTGCCAGATCTTGTTCATTGGTGGCGTTCTTCACGGCTTCCAACGCATCCTCCACCTGCAGAGGAAGATGGAAATTTGAGAGTTCAGTCTATGACAGGGGTCTTCAAACCTGGCCCTTTCGTGACTTGTGGATGTCAACTCCCAGAATTCCTCAGCCAGGCATGCTGGCTGAGGGATTCTGGGAGTTGAAGTCCACTCCTATTAAAGTCTATATCAGGGATCTTTAAACTCAGCCCTTTTATGACTCGTGGACTTCAACTCCCAGAATTCCTGAGCCAGCATGGCTCAGCTTAGAAACCTCTCCCTTTCCCCTCAGCATGGCTGGCTCAGGAATTCTGGGAGTTGAAGTCCACGGGTCATAAAAGAGCCAAGGTTGCCTACCTCTGGCCTAGGCCACTTTATGACTGGTGGACTTCAACTCCCAGAATTCCTGAGCCAGCATGGCTCAGCTTAGAAACCTCTCCCTTTCTCCTTAGCATGGCTGGCTCAGGAATTCTGGGAGTTGAAGTCCATGAGTCATAAAAGAACCAAGGTTGCCTACCCCTGAGCTAGGCCATGGGCTTCATATCAATTTCTAGCAACATACAATGGCAACAGCTCAACATAAAAGATCAGCAGGAAAATAAATACTATTGTTGACCTTTAATTTTTAGCATGTGTGTTTTTACTCACTCAGTACAAATATGTGTTCTCCCTAAAAGATGTAAATGACAGGTAGGCAGGCAAGAACCAGCATTCCTCAACCTTCTATTTCAAAACGTAAACAACTCTGCTGCCATCATTGTGAACAAGTAAGAATTAACTGCCACCACAAAAATATACCTCAGGATGGATTACATAAAAGCGGGCCAAAGTACAACAATTAAAATGTCAATTAAAATCTGTTTGCAGTCTGAGAGCGAAACATTACTGTGCACGGAAGGAACAGGGGCTTGTTTCATTTTGTAAAGCAAGGCAAGGCAATGAAAGTGGATGATAAAATATTTGGGAAGTCCAGTGTCCTTAGTGCCGTGTTTCTATAAGAAGACGGTATAAAAATAACATTATTCTGGGCTCCCATTTAAAGATCCACAAACCCATTGGTAGAAAAGGAATAAAAGTTGAATAACCTTATTGAATCCCAACATCTAAGGAGAGTGGTTCTCAACCTGTGGGTCAGGACCCCATTTGGGGTCGAACGACCATTTCACAGGGGTCGCCAAACAACGCAGTCCGCCATTTTTCCCCTTTTTCTTAGCTGTGCTATTCCCTTTTATTCTATTGGCTTTTGAAAGCCAATAGAATAGACTCTCTTGAATAGAGTCTAATTCTATTGGCTTTCCAAAGCCAATAGGAATTGTCCAGGCTGTCTCTGCCCTGCTGAGCCCGCCAAAAGTCCCATTCTGCAAACGGGGCTGCACCAGTTGAGTAGTCCTCGACTTACGACCGGTTGAGTAGTCCTCGACTTACGACCGGTTGGGGATCGCGGCATTAAAAAGGTTGAGAACCACTGATCTAAGAGGTATCAGACTTGGTTAACATTGGGATGGAAGCACCATGAATGCAGTCTAGAGAGGGCAGCTGAAGATAGAATGGAATGGAATGGAATATATGGAATGGAATGGAATGGGATAGGATAGGATGTGATAAGAATAGAATAGAATAGAATAGAATAGAATAGAATAGAATAGAATAGAATATAGAATAGAAATAGAACAAAATAAGAGTAGAGTAGAGTAGAGTAGAGTAGAGTAGAGTAGAGTAGAGTACAATAGAACAAAATAAGAATAGTACAGAATAAGAATAGAATAGAATAAGAAGAACAGAAGAGAACAGAACAGAATAGAAACAGAACAGAATAAGAGTAGAGTTGAATAGAATAGAATAAGAACAGAATAGAAACAGAACAGAATAAGAGTAGAGTAGAACAGAATAAGAATAGTACAGAATAAGAATAGAACAGAACAGAATAACAACAGAAGAACAGAACAGAACAGAATACAAACAGAACAGAATAAGAGTAGAGTAGAGTAGAGTAGAGTAGGATAGGATACAATAGGACAGGACAGAATAGAATAACAGAGCTGGAAGGGACCTTGGAGGTCTTCTAGTCCAACCCCCTGTTCAGGCAGAAAACCCTATACCATTTCAGACAAATGATTGTCCAATCTCTTCTTTAAAATTTCCTGGATTTTCCATTTCTCTATTTTTTGAAGATGAGAACACTTTACTTCCCCCATTCTGATACATCCTGCCCCGAGATTTCTACAAGGTCCACTAGCAAATGATAACATAAATGAGACTGAAAAGCAAAGTAATTTGTTAAGACACCATTGCACCCAGTAGAATTCTTGGAGAATTGTTATTTATCTTTGATTTATCTCTATGGCATGGAGGGTAGGTAACTCACTGATCACATGTTGCCATTTTTCCAAGGCTCTTCCTATCATTATGCCGTGGAGGCGCAGTGGTTAGAAGGCAGTATTGCAGGCTGACTCTGCCCACTGCCAGCAGTTCGATTCTAACCGCCTCAAGGTTGACTCAACCTTCCATCCTTCTGAGGTTAGTAAAATGAGGACTCAGATAGTTGCGGGCAATATGGTGACATTTGTAAACTGCTCAGAGAGGGCTTCTAAAGCACGGCGAGGCGATAAATAAATCTAAATGCTATTGCTATTATGAAGAGGACATGGTTGTCAGGATTTTCCATCCCACAATTTATTTATTATTTATTTTTATTTTATTTTATTTTTAAAATTTATAAGCCGCCCCACTCCCGAAGGACTCTGGGCGGCTAACAATAAAAAACACATAAAACATAACAAACAAACAGTACAAAGACAGTTATCCAGGGGTCAGGTTTTATAAACCCCAGGCCTGCCGGAAAAGCCAGGTCTTAAGTAGCTTACGGAAGACCAACAGGGTGGGAGCAGTCCTAATCTCCGGGGGGAGCTGGTTCCAAAGCGTGGGTGCCATCACAGAGAAGGCCCTCCTCCGCGGCCCCGCCAAATGGCACTGCTTGGCTGACGGGGCCTGAAGGAGGCCCAGCCTGTGGGATCTAACCAGACATAGGGAACTATGAGGTAGTAGGCGGTCTACAATGAGCAACAAGCTGGACTATATAACCACTAAGGTCTCCATGAGTCTGATTCTCCATATTTTTCAAGAGGTCTTCAACAGGGGTCTTCAAACTTGGCCCTTTTATGACTTGTGGACTTCAACTCCCAGAATTCCTCAGCCAGGCGTGCCTGGCTGAGGAATTCTGGGAGTTGAAGGTCCACAAGTCATAAAAGGGCCAAGTTTGAAGACCCCTGGTCTACAACAAATAGTTCATCCTAAATAGACAGACAGTGATTTACTGCACTGGTTTGATCCAAATGCCTTTTGAAATTCATTAAAATATGAACCTTTCTGGCGGTAACCCTCAATCCACTGGATTCCTGGCACACGAATCCACTCCTTGTTGGAATGGTTATTATGAGATGGTTGGAAGACACCTAAATGATCTACTGAAATCTGCGGGAGAAATCCAAAATTATTCAGCGGGAGATAAGAATCTTATCTGAGGCCGGATCCCAAGCTGGGAAGCAAACAGAAGTCGGTTTCCTATTTCTAGGAAGAATCTGTTTCCAATTTATATCTTTATTGTTTATTAAACAAGTTTATATAGCCGCTAACCCACACACAGTTGATTCCAGGTGGCTTGAAGCATTAAACTCTGCCATATGAGAACCATAAAAACCCATATGCACCCATGACAACAGCAACAGAAGCAAACCAACTGATGATTACACAATTAGTTACAATTAAGCAGAATAGAACAGAATAATCGTTCTTGTAATTGTGTAACTCACAACGAAATTAAGTGCTGTCCACAGTGCACACTACACACAAGTAAAAACCACAAATAAGAACGTGCATTATATACACACATCCTTCACATTCTAAGGGTAACAGGTGACAGCTGGACAGTAATTTCTTCACACAGAAAACTATTGTGGGAAGTCAGCCCCCCCCCAGAGAAGGAAATATTAAAAGCGCAGAAAAATATATTTCCTCAAAGGATCTTAAAAAATCAGAAAAGCATGCCCAGTTTTTGTTAATAGCCCCAAGGCTCCCTTCCCCAAGCAGAAACCAGCTCTGTAGAAATGCAGATGTGGTAATCCATTCAGGAAGGTTGAAGCTAGAAGATTAAGAAGACAAAGACACCTAAAATCTACATACCCACCCAAATTCTAAGACAGGACATAATAGGATTAACCCACAGATACCAAAGGGCACACTCCGACTCAGGTCAAAGTTCATGCCACAGGAACAACTCCAAACAAAAGGCTCCAGAGGGTATAAAAGCCCACTCCCTACATGTGCTCTCTCTCTTTTCTTCCAGAGCCATCTCTCTGTCTGGCTCTCCTCTTCAATAAAGTGCAACGTTCTTTCTAAAGCAGTCGCCATGTTGTTTATTCCCAGCTTGGACTGGACCCTGATGAAGATTTTTCCTTCAACACTATCAATAGTTAAAACTTACAAGGCAACGGCTACAGCTATATATACACGGATTTAAGATACCCTCAGCCTGAATCAACAGATAAAAACATTTAATATTTTAAAACACCAGCATAGATAAATACTAATCCTCGGGAGGTTCTCTCCACAGAAGCGAGGATTTGCCATGATTTTCTCGGGGAATATTACTCCAATATTAGCGCTCTGCATTTTTGTGTCAATATTGAACAAGATCGTAAAATCGCTCAACGTTTTTTCAGTTGGTACCAAGGCTTTAAAGCATTCTATTCGTCCAACAGAAATATGGAAGCGTATCTACTACTGCATTTTACCATCATGCAAAACAGATTCCAAACTGAATTTGGAAAACATCTAAAATGCTTGCCACTGGAAGGCTGATGCGGTAAATATTGAGGAAATCAAGAATTAAAAAAAATTAGGATTTAATTTTAACCAGAAAACTTCCTGGGTCGCTCAGCAAACACCAATGAGAGTAGACTTTTAATCATCTCAAACTGTTGTAAGATTTTACAAATAATCTGCCTGTTTCAAGCACTAAAGCTAACGGTACAA